GGCCCTGAGGAGTAAGCTATGTTTGAGGTCACACACTGGGTCAGCAGCACAGCTAGGCCTGAATGTTTGGGCTGCTTGGTGCCATATGGTTTTATAGATTAAAAAATTAAGTGAGGGTGCTCGGCCAGGTGTCTGTTAGTTGTAGGGTCCTCCCACACACACCCCAAAAAGGTAGCAGGTTCGATTCCCGGTCTGGGCACCTACAGAAGAAACAAGATCAAGGTTTCTCTCTATCTCCCTTCCTCTCTCTCTAAAATAAACAAACATATCCTTGGGTGAGGATTTAAAAAATTAAGTGAGGGAAAGAGTGGGATTAATTAAAATGTTTTTCTGCCAGTTTGTCTGATATGGCTCAGTGGTTGAGCATCGACCTATGAGCCAGGGGGTCGCAGTTCAATTCCCAATCAGGGCACATGCCTGGATCGTGGGCTCGATCCCCAAGGGGGAAGCTGCAGGAGGCAGCAAATCGATGGTTCTCTCTCATCATTGATGTTTCTATCTCCCTCTCCCTGCCTCTCTCTCTGAAACCATTAAACACATATTTTTAAAAAAGAAGTTTTTTTGCCATTCAAAACTATAATATACTCATTTAGAAAATTTAGAAAACCGAAACAGGAAAAAAATCACCCATAACTCCCCCACCTAAGGATAACTACTATTAATACTACAGTGCATTGCCTCCCGGCTTCCTCTATATTGACTTTTGATTTTCTGTTTTAGTTTTGCCTTCTTACTGTTGGTGTGGTTTTTTTTTTTTAATTACCGACTTTAGACAGGGAGGGAGGGGGATAGATAGAAACATTGATGAGAGAATCTTCGATTGGCTGTCTCCTCCATGCACCCGACTGGGGATCGAGCCCACAACCCTGGCATGTACCCCGACTAGGAATTGAACCAGTGACCTCTTGGTTTATGAATCAATGCTCAACCACTAAGCCACACTGGCTGGTGCATTCTTACTGTTAGTAAAATTTCGCATTCTGCTTTTTATTCTTCATGTAAGAATAAGAAGCAGAATGCACTTTCCACATGCTTAGCAACTCGTCTAAGCCATCCCGTCAGTAACTGTATAATAGGCCACTGGGCAGGTGAGCTATAGTCTACTAAACTCATTTAGTTTTTATGAATAAAAATTAATCTTCATAATGACAGCTCTCTCCTTCCCCAGATGGCCTCACAGGCTGTGGTCTGGGATTTGAATCTTCCCCAGCTAGGATCACTCGTCTTTCCTTATCCCCTGACCCCATTTTCCCAGCACCTTCCTGGGCCTGGCTGAACTGCCCATTTAGTACCCAGTACCCTCTCATGCAGCACTGACTTGTTTTAGGCCATTCTGGGGGTCTCCAAAGAAACAACTGAAACGGAGTAACCGTGAGTAGGCAGGTACAGTATGAGCCCTCAGAAATTGTGAAAGGTGTCTTAAACACCTGTAGGACTGGGAGGCATGTGGACAGCTGTAGTAATGAGCTGCAAGACACCCCAGCTGGAATCTGGTCATGACCTCATAGCACCAGGAAGAGGGATGGGGATTGACTGGCAGTGCATGCAGCCAGGAACACATCTCCATGGGGGACCTGCTCTGAGGACTTCTAGTTTGTCTGATATGGCTCAGTGGTTGAGCATCGACCTATGAGCCAGGGGGTCGCAGTTCAATTCCCAATCAGGGCACATGCCTGGATCGTGGGCTCGATCCCCAAGGGGGAAGCTGCAGGAGGCAGCAAATCGATGGTTCTCTCTCATCATTGATGTTTCTATCTCCCTCTCCCTGCCTCTCTCTCTGAAACCATTAAACACATATTTTTAAAAAAGAAGTTTTTTTGCCATTCAAAACTATAATATACTCATTTAGAAAATTTAGAAAACCGAAACAGGAAAAAAATCACCCATAACTCCCCCACCTAAGGATAACTACTATTAATACTACAGTGCATTGCCTCCCGGCTTCCTCTATATTGACTTTTGATTTTCTGTTTTAGTTTTGCCTTCTTACTGTTGGTGTGGTTTTTTTTTTTTAATTACCGACTTTAGACAGGGAGGGAGGGGGATAGATAGAAACATTGATGAGAGAATCTTCGATTGGCTGTCTCCTCCATGCACCCGACTGGGGATCGAGCCCACAACCCTGGCATGTACCCCGACTAGGAATTGAACCAGTGACCTCTTGGTTTATGAATCAATGCTCAACCACTAAGCCACACTGGCTGGTGCATTCTTACTGTTAGTAAAATTTCGCATTCTGCTTTTTATTCTTCATGTAAGAATAAGAAGCAGAATGCACTTTCCACATGCTTAGCAACTCGTCTAAGCCATCCCGTCAGTAACTGTATAATAGGCCACTGGGCAGGTGAGCTATAGTCTACTAAACTCATTTAGTTTTTATGAATAAAAATTAATCTTCATAATGACAGCTCTCTCCTTCCCCAGATGGCCTCACAGGCTGTGGTCTGGGATTTGAATCTTCCCCAGCTAGGATCACTCGTCTTTCCTTATCCCCTGACCCCATTTTCCCAGCACCTTCCTGGGCCTGGCTGAACTGCCCATTTAGTACCCAGTACCCTCTCATGCAGCACTGACTTGTTTTAGGCCATTCTGGGGGTCTCCAAAGAAACAACTGAAACGGAGTAACCGTGAGTAGGCAGGTACAGTATGAGCCCTCAGAAATTGTGAAAGGTGTCTTAAACACCTGTAGGACTGGGAGGCATGTGGACAGCTGTAGTAATGAGCTGCAAGACACCCCAGCTGGAATCTGGTCATGACCTCATAGCACCAGGAAGAGGGATGGGGATTGACTGACAGTGCATGCAGCCAGGAACACATCTCCATGGGGGACCTGCTCTGAGGACTTCTATAGCACTAATGCAGGCGGCATCTCCATGTCCTGGAATGGAGACCTCCTTGGACCTTGAAAGATGAAGATGTTTTCAACACAGGGGAGTCCAGGGTAGGAGAAAGAAGGTGGAACTAGACTTGAGGGCAGGGATAATGGGTTTTCTCTACCCTCCCAGACACCAGCTGAGGCAAATATTGTGCTGAATGAGTCCCCCTGATGGAGAGAAGTGGGAGTGCATGGGCAGCAGGGCAGGTGGGGGAGTGAAGCTTCACCACTGCCAAACCTCCTGCCTTCCAGGTGCAGTGCTTTGACCCCAAGGAGGACAGGTGGAGCCTGCAGTCACCAGCACCCTTCTCTCAGCGATGTCTTGAGGCTGTCTCCCTCGAGGACACCATCTATGTGGTGGGAGGCCTCATGAGCAAAATCTACACCTACCACCCTGGTACAGATGTCTGGGGGGAGGCAGCTGTCCTCCCCATCACGGGGAAAGCACCGACAGGGTCTTCACCTTTGACCCCAGCAGTGGGCAGGTGGAAGCCCAGCCGTCCCTGCAGCGCTGCACCAGCTCCCACGGCTGCGTCACCATTGTCCAGAGCCTGGGCAGGTGACTCAGATTTGGACAACCTGAGACAGGAGCAGAGAGAGAAGGGAGAACTCAGGCTCACCACTCTGCTTTCCTCGTGGAACCGCCATGTAAATAGCCCCGTAACTTATTGCCCCCTTTCTTGTAGAAATAAAACGTCATTCAAAGGTTGGGTCTGTGTTCCAGCTCATGCCTGCTTTGCCTGAAGAAGTATCTGCTCCTTACATTCTTACTGTTAGTAAAATTTCTCATTCTGCTTTTTATTCTTCATGTAAGAGTAAGAAGCAGAATGCACTTTCCACATGCTTAGCAACTTGTCTAAGCCATCACGTCAGTAACTGTGTAATAGGCCACTGGGCGGGTGAGCTATAGTCTACTAAACTCATTTAGTTTTTATGAATAAAAATTAATCTTCATAATGACAGCTCTCTCCTTCCCCAGATGGCCTCACAGGCTGTGGTCTGGGATTTGAATCTTCCCCAGCTAGGATCACTCGTCTTTCCTTATCCCCTGACCCCATTTTCCCAGCACCTTCCTGGGCCTGGCTGAACTGCCCATTTAGTACCCAGTACCCTCTCATGCAGCACTGACTTGTTTTAGGCCATTCTGGGGGTCTCCAAAGAAACAACTGAAACGGAGTAACCGTGAGTAGGCAGGTACAGTATGAGCCCTCAGAAATTGTGAAAGGTGTCTTAAACACCTGTAGGACTGGGAGGCATGTGGACAGCTGTAGTAATGAGCTGCAAGACACCCCAGCTGGAATCTGGTCATGACCTCATAGCACCAGGAAGAGGGATGGGGATTGACTGACAGTGCATGCAGCCAGGAACACATCTCCATGGGGGACCTGCTCTGAGGACTTCTATAGCACTAATGCAGGCGGCATCTCCATGTCCTGGAATGGAGACCTCCTTGGACCTTGAAAGATGAAGATGTTTTCAACACAGGGAGTCCAGGGGTAGGAGAAAGAAGGTGGAACTAGACTTGAGGGCAGGGATAATGGGTTTTCTCTACCCTCCCAGACACTAGCTGAGGCAAATATTGTGCTGAATGAGTCCCCCTGACGGAGAGACGTGGGAGTGCATGGGCAGCAGGGCAGTTGGGGGGTGAAGCTTCACCACTGCCAAACCTCCTGCCTTCCAGGTGCAGTGCTTTGACCCCAAGGAGGACAGGTGGAGCCTGCAGTCACCAGCACCTTTCTCTCAGCGATGTCTTGAGGCTGTCTCCCTCGAGGACACCATCTATGTGGTGCTGTGGCGTGACTGTGTGTGATGGGAAGGTCCACATCACTGGTGGGCGAGATGATCACGGGGAAAGCACCAACAGGGTCTTCACCTTTGACCCCAGCAGTGGGCAGGTGGAGGCCCAGCCGTCCCTGCAGCGCTGCACCAGCTCCCATGGCTGCGTCACCGTTGTCAAGAGCCTGGGCAGGTGACTCAGATTTGGACAACCTGATCCAGGAGCAGAGAGAGAAGCAAGAACTCAGGCTCACCACTCTGCTTTCCTCATGGAACCGCCATGTAAATAGCCCCTTAACTTATTGCCCCCTTTCTTGTAGAAATAAAACGTCATTCAAAGGTTGGGTCTGTGTTCCAGCTCATGCCTGCTTTGCCTGAAGAAGTATCTGCTCCTTGTTTTGACTCTTTACAAAGCACCTACATGTTACTTCATTTACTTTCATAACAGCAGTGTGGACATAATTTAAAATATTATGAAATATTCCATGCATAAAATAATATATATTTTTGTGCAGTTTAATAATAATAATAAAACATCTTCCTTCCTACCAGCTAGCTTAGGAAATAATCTGTCACAGCCCTGGCTCAGGGGGCTCAGTTGGTTAGAACGTTGTCCCATACACCAAAAACAAAAAAAGAAATAGAATGTTAGAAATGCCTTTGTAGGCTCTGGTGTCTATTCCCAAACCCATTCCCTTCCCATAGTCCTCTGAGGTAATCACTATCCTTCAACTTGAGATTATCAACACTTTTAACTTTTAGTGAGCTAATTATTAATATCTGTATTTCATGAAGCTGCAAAATCAATGAGACATTTCTGGTCAGGAGAACAACCCTCTCAAATTCGAACACCTAGCAGAGATAGACAAAATTAGAGCCCAGACAACGAAAAAGACAAAGACATAGGTGTAAAAGTAAGCAAACATGTCCAAGGTTCAGAAACAACAGAATTGTAAAACCCCAAGGAAGGCAGAAGTTTGAGCTCTGGGGCTCAGGCTCTGAGGGATAAAGGCCTTAAAAACAGGATTCCAATCCAGGCTCACTGCTAGAAGCCAGGGCCGAGGTGCTCCACTCGTGAAAGAAACTGAAACAGAAACCCAAATGGCCTTGGGGTCCGAAGCTTGCAGCTGGGTGATGGGTGCTAGAGCCACAGGCCTTCGAGAACCCAGTCAGGCTGCATCTGGACCTCCAACATCCCCAGCATCAACAGGGGGCACAAACCCCTGATGTGACTAAGCACCTGGGTTAGCCTGGGCTCTAGAAAAAGCAACACAGAACTGCTGGATAGGAAGGGGTGATGAGAGAGGGAATGAAAGATGCCACAAAGGGAATCTGTGAGGCAGAGGCCTAGTGGTGCAGGTTCTGTGCCTGTTTCTAAGGCCCAGAGGACGGAAGACCTAGCCAGACCCCATCTGGGGCTCCCCTCATTTGCACCCAGATTGCCTTTTAAAAATCTATCATAGGCTCCTGCAACTCCTCCAGCACAGGGCCAGCCCCACGCCCCTCCCATCTTCCAAAGCCCCAGGGCCCCGTCTGGGAGATCTTTCCAGCTGGGTCTGGCCCTTTACAGCCCAGCACAAAGGCCCAGGTCACAGCTGAGCTCCTACCTTCTGATTATCCCTGATTAGGGAGCCTGTGACCATCTGGACACAGCTGATAATGGCAGAGGGGAAGGGGGTGTAAGGGGAGGCCCAGTTCCTCAGAGCCCGCCTGCCCTCACCCCAGGGATAACATCCAGGACAAAGAAAGCACTGTATTATTTGCCTATCCCGTCAGATGCCCAAGTGGAAATGAGAGGGGCAAATCCAGGGCAAGCTCTCCCTCACCTGGGCTGGGCACCTCCTGTGTGCCAGGCAGACTGCACCACTTCCCCCACGATGACCATTCGCGTTCCCTATGCCCTTTCATGCAAGTGCTGATGCCCCTTCCTGCCGTCTGCTTGGGCAGACCTGATACCCTCTACCCCCGTTTACCACTCTCTCCTCGTGTCCCCTATCTGCCCTGGTTCTATCACCTGACATATGGCCAGGCCTTTGTCTCCCGACACCCAAGGGATGCCCTTTGAGGCAGGAAAGGTGTCAGCTTCATCTGTGTCCCCCAGTGCCCAGAACAAGGCCTCCCATTGAACACATTAAATCAAAGTTTTTGCTGTCTTCTACCTCGCAATGCCTGAGTTGGTACTATTGCCTACCCCACGTTACAGACAGTTGTGACTTGCTTACTAAAGTCACTGAGCTGATAAGTGGTGGCAGAGCCAAGATTCCAACCTGCATCCAGCTATCTCCAAAGCCTGCTCTTTCCACGCAGCCACATCCAGGCTCTGCTAATCTGAGAATGTGGGTGTTGCACATATGAATGAAGCACAGCTGTTTAGAAGTAGGAGATACATCATTTCCACCAAGGAAAATCCCATCCTGATAGAATTTTGTTCCTGTCCTTAGGGGCCTCCTTGAATGAAGAGAGGCATTATTCATGTCCCTAGTGAGTGAGGCTCACAGGAACACAAGCAAAAAGTGACACCCCATATGCCCTAATTTCTTAGGACTACTAGTTATACCTAATACTTTGGTCTCTCAGTCTAACTAGTCCTTTTGTGGAATGTCTCCCTGGTTCCTAACCCACTGCTTCCCCACTCCCACCACCCCCTGCAGCCAGACAAGATCAGAGCATGAACCCTGAGCATGGCCCCTTGGCCATGCAGTATGCCA